CGTTGAGACGCAGCCATTTTGACATGGAGGCTTCTTACGAAAAAAGAACGGCAATGGTTGGTGGGTGTCCCTTTGGTCTTTCTGGACTTGCGCTCAGGGAGGCCCACCTTTTGGTTGGCTTGGTTGGCCGCTTTGAGGGGCGCTTCATTTTAGCAAATGGAAGATACCCATCCAGGCCCTGGCAGGCCCTGGCAGCCTGCCCAGTTCCCCCAGAAACGAACGGCTTCCGGCGGAAGCTCCGAGTCGCGCCAGGGGCTTCCGTGACGGGGGGTTCAGGGGTTCCTCACTGACTCCTGACTCCAAGATGCGAACTTCCCTGAAATGGCAGTGGGTAAAAACATATGGAAACATGGATTAAAAACCCAAAAACATGGCGAGCCCCAAAATAAGAACCCTGGTAAACGGAAACATGGATTAAAAACCTGTGGTCCCATGGCAGTTTAATTTTGACCCACAGCCAAGTGTGCCCACTGCACAGAGGGGAGTTTCTCAGTTCGGTATTTGAACTGAAACCAAAAGGACAACAACCCCCTACTTGGAGAAACACCCGTATGGCATATTTATGAGCAACAGACCCTGTTTTTGTTGAGGGTAACCGTTTGAGGTTGGTTTCAGAGGGAAACCAAACGGCAAACCACCAGGTCGGGGGGTCCAAAACCCCCATTCTGAGATTCTCAGACAGGCACCGGACATCCCATGCATGTGGGTAAGATTTTTGGACCGCCATCCAAAACTCAGTTGGGATTCATGACCAAGCACTTCTGAGGCGGTTCCAACTCTTAAAAGCCTTAGCCAAACTGGGTGTCGCATGTTGTAGGGTATCCCGATCTTGTTGCGGGTTTAGAAGGGAAACCAGAAGGACAACTCGAGCCCGAAGCCATTTGGAGCTGTCTAATTTAGGGAACCTCCAAAATGAGTGTGTTCCTTTTGGGTTTCCTGTAAAACTACAAAAAGCAAATGGGAATCCCTCAAAAGAAAAGTCGTACAAGTTTGTTTGTTTTCTTTAAAGGTGCCCCTCCAAAAAGTACCCCCCCCCCCCACAATTTGAGACATGCAAGAGGTCCCACCGAACTCCTCAGACTAAGCCCTTAAACACACGCCAAGATGCATCGGTACAACTTCGGGGCTTGATGTGAGCAGCTTGCTCCTCCTCAACAGCAGACGCGCCGGGCGACACCCATCAGGAGGAATAGCTCTGCAAAGCAGTAAAAGATAATATAACCATGTTAGGGTTTCCCGATTTTGAAATAAACCCATCTGGCGATGGACATTTTACTTGGGGAGTCGGCATCATTCAGGTCGGGATTTGTGTCCACCAACCACTTCAGGGGCTCCGTATTGAGATGGATTTGGATCTTCGATTCGCCAAGTTAGTGAGTAACCTCCCAATCAAGGCTAACCCCACTTTGGGGGACTTATAAGTGGATTGTAACCTTTTTACTTGAGTGTTCTATTCGCCAAGCTAGTGAGCTGTAGCGGGTTGGATTATAACCCACTTCTATGTGGGTTAACCCTGGAAAACGGGAAGATCACCCCAGTTACGCCAGTTTCCATCGTTCTTGGGTGTGCGTTGCCTCAAGGTTCTTTGCTTGGAATTAGTTGGTTTGCCATGGTTATGACCTACTTACCTGACGTAGTTTTAACATCCAACTAACGAGCCCAAAAGGGAGAAGGCTCCCCCAAGAGGAGTTTCCACAAATGGGTCTTCTTTCTGGGAATGATTTCTCTCAATTTGTAGAGCAAATCCAATTTCTTTACCTCACGCTAAGAGTCTAAAAGTCCAGGTATGGCTGGGAACTGCCCAGCAGCAAGGGCTCTTATGCTTCCCGCACTCTCTCTCTCTCTCTCTCTCTCTCTCTGTCTCTGTCTCTCTTTCTCTGCCGTTTGGCGCGGTCACGCGTTTCTCTTTGTCCTTCCCTGTCTCTCTCTCTCTCTCTCTCTAGCTTCTTCTTCTTCTTCTTCTTCGTCTTCTTCTTCTTTGTCTTCTTCTGCTTCTTGTTCTTCGTCTTCTTCTTGTTCTTCTTCTTCTTCCTCTTCTTCTTCTGCTTCTTCTTCTCTCTACGCACACACAGACACGAACCCACGTTGTCTGGGCCAACTGCACATATTTTCTCATTCTTGCCACAAGACTTCAGCAAATGGAGGATTCCACTTACAGTTTGTCGTTGCCCTCCGACACTCGGCGGGTTCCCTTTGAACACACTTGCCGAAGAGCGGCACGCATGAGGAAGGATCTTTGCGTGGGGGCTTCGTGTGGCAAGTGCGAGTGATAGATTCCCTTTAAAGCCAACAGGGGACAAGCACACATCTTCATTTCAGCAAATGGAAGGAATCGATTCTTGAGACACCCGCAGCCACCCCCTACCCAAGACGATTCGCTGGCTCGTCGCCCAGCATCGCGCCTTCGTCAGGTTCGGGTCTGCCTCATCCTCCTCAGAAAGAAATTGGAAATGGGTGGCTCGCGTTTGATGCTCGGCACTCTTTTTGGGGGTTGGTTTAAAGGAAACCAAGAGGGAAACCAAGCATTTGTGGGCTCATCTATTTTAAGACACGCCCAAATAGACCCTTTTGGGGTTTGGGCTGGTTTTAAGGGAAACCAAAAGAAACGACATTTGGATGGACAAAAAACGATGGTTGATCAGCCACCAACCGAAATCTGGGGATTCCCTTTTCGCGGATGTTCCAAAAGCGGATTTGTTTGGGGCGCTTGTGAAATCCACGGGGGAGGGTTCCCTTTCGACCCAATCTTCACAGTGTTCGACCGGGTTCATTCTCGCGATGAAACGGAGGCCGACCCCACGCGGTCCAGCCCGTTTGTGTGGACACAAAGAGAGTTTGCCCTGCATGGGATCAAGTGGCCATGGCCAAAGCAAGCTGCAGCTGCCTTCTGCTCTAAGTTTCCGCTTACCCAAAACATTGGTGGAGGTTTTCAAACCCAGCCGCCAAACCAACGAAGAACGTGGAGCCCTGCAGAGATATCTCCTCTAGACGAAGTGACGACCTGCTCGTTGAAAGACGAAAGAAGAAACACCAAGGAGCAAAAGTCAAGAGGCAAGCCAGCAGTCGCTCACGTGCGACCGGGCGGAAAAAAGGGGCCTCTTCCTCTTGCGTTGAAATGCTAAGGGGAAACCCCTCCAATAGATTGGGCTGTCCTGGGATCCCCTGCTAAAATTTAAGTTTTCATCGAAGCGGAAAATCACGAAAGCAACTAAAAACACCAAAAAACCTAAGGAACCGGAAAGATGGGAACAGCCGAGCAAAAGGCTGAACAAAGGTGGAGAAAGACAAAAGACGGGGCCGACGGCCTTCTTCTCCTCATCCTTCTCCTCCTTCTCCTATGGCAACCCCGGCCCCGGTTCAATATGAAAACCCAGTCAGCCCCTGTAGACCTGGGTGACCTGGGGTTTCGAGCAACTCCTCCCAAACCACCTGGGCCTGGGTGCCCTTCTCCGCACTTAAAAGGACACCTTCTTGCAGGCTACTTTATAGGTTTCAAGAGGCCTCACTGTCATCCTGGGGAACCAAACAGGTAGGAACCAAACCATGTGGCTGTTGTGGGAAACGGTGTTTGAAGAAGCCATGGGGCTTTAAACCAACCTGAAAAGGGTACCCTCAAAAGCACGCACAACCACCCACGCGCACACGCAGCCACAAACGCACGCACGCACCGGTCCTTTTGACACTCGAGGGTACTGTACTTCTCATTGCCACAGTACGTAACCAAAGGAAACCCTCAAAAGGCCTCCTCGCAATACCCTACCTTATCTAGGTCCTCCAGTAGAGAGGTTAGAATAGTGGTACCCTTTTTTTCTGTAGTCTATTTTAGCAGGGGAACCCGCCCCAAAAAAAACGGGTGAGAAAGGGCACCTAGCTGGGAGACCTACCTCATGGTAACGGCTTGGAAGCACTGTTCCACCTGTCTCTCAAGCACCACCGCCCAAACTTGGGTGCGTCTTGCCTCTAGGCGCTCCCCCAAAATGGTGGGTGTTCATCTTGGCTGCCGCAAAACAACTAGAGGGGCACCCTCTAAGAAAGACCGCCCCAACGGAGATCATAGAAACCACAGAAACCTGAAATTTAGCCTTCCCGGGAGGAAACCCACAATTTTGAGGGGGTCCCCCATTAAAAAGACACGCCCATTAAAAAGACACGCCCATTTGGGGCTCCGAAGAAAAACATTTTTCCTTTACCATGACTAGCAATAGACCAAAAGGTCGAAAGCTCCCAAAGGTCTAAGGCAACCAAAGGCAAACCCCCAGCACCCACAGCCCTCATACAAACCATCTCTACTCTTGGTATGGTAGCGAAAAACTTTGTTTTTTTTGCAGACCCCCAGTAAAAATGGATAGAACCAAAAAACTAAAACAAAAAACAAAAAACATGCCAAGAACAGTGGAGCAACCGTACTAATTTCGCCTACCCCAAAGCCCCGGGTTTCTTGTAGCTCCGTTCTCAAAGCCTAGCGATGTCCCGATTCGTTCCGATTCGTTCCGATGCCTTCAGTAGCTGCGATTTCTCCGAGGACGGCATGCCCTGATTCGTTGGAAGCCGCGAAGTTGACAACTTCACCATTTGGGTGTTAGAGTTGCAAACACATCAATCCACCACTCAAATGCGAGAAAACATATGTGTATGCCTATTATATATATATATATATATTCAAGAATCTTAGTACCTCAAAACTTGGCCTTTCTCAGGCTCCAAACCTTCCGATGGAGATCCTGACCCGGGTCCTGTCTGATGGAAGTTGACCGATTTCGAGAAATTTGCCCCGGTGCCATCCCCAGCACCAAGAAGCCTTCCGCAACCCTGGCCCACACCTGCTGAGGCGTTTTTTGGCAGAGTCCCTAAGCTTTCAGCTGGTTCCGGGGAAAAATAAGGAAAAACAACGGAGAACCCAAGAATGGGGGGACCAAGGTGGAAAAATGAAAGCGGAAACACACAACTGCCCCAGCTACAACCTTGGTAGGTTGAACACCCAAGTGTCCTTGTCAATTCCAGCTTCCTGCAATCCGCAAATCTAAGGTACCGAGGGACCCTTTGGCAAATGAGTCATGTGAATCTCGCGTTGTTTCTTATTTCGGGTTCCTACTTGGAGCTCTATTTCTGGGTGCCCATAGGAACCCTACTGTGGCATCCCACTGATATCCCAGAGGCCCGTGAGAAATCTTCGCCCACCCCATTCTAATGGCCTTTTTGCGCTTTGCGGCCCACGCAAAAAAGCACCTCCTTTCGGGCTCCAAACGGAGAACACGCCGTTTTCCCATTGGTGCCGGGTTTGTTCTCATCGGTATTCCATGGTATTCCCATGAAGCATCAAGCGTGAGTGGCCTTTGTTTGCGGTGTGAAATCCATGGATCGGTCGACAGAGAGGAAGCTCTGGCCTCATGATCTTACCACATAAGTGGCGCCCCCTATATACTCCAATTACCCACTTGTTTTTTGGGAGCAAAAACGTTACTTTTGTTTGTACAAATACCTCCAGCGCGGGTATTTGGAGGTTGGGGTAGGTTCAAGGGAAACCACCAACCAGCTGACGTACCGAAACCGGCCGGTGTGTGGCTCCTGTCGCGCAAACGCGAGCCCCTGTTTAAAGGCTAAATCTTAGCTTTGGCATGAAAGGAAGCCCACACACCCTAGAAGCTAAGGTCAGTCTGGGTATGCCCAGAGGTTTCCAGGGGTCCGTGCTGCCAAGTCTTCAATTTGCCAAGTTGGACGTTGCAACGGCGCGTTCGGTGTAACCGAACAAACCCCGGTTGGGTTAGTCTTGTGATTAGGGAGTTCTACCCCGAGATGCTAGCCAGTTTTCCTTTTATATTTCTTGAAGAGTGGAATCCCCCAAAACTAGGGAATTGGAATCACTGGGGGAGCAATCTTGGAAAGAGACTCTCATTCCCCAAAACAACATCCAAGCAAGCAAGAGGGGCTGACTAAGTTCATTCCTGGGACGCTCAAGTGTGCAAGGCTCTCAGTCTGTTGCTCGCCCAGGTAGGTTTTAACCTAGGGGTCGTTGCTTTCCCCAGAAGAGAAACGGAGCGACGGTTAAAACCAACTAGGGCGTCAAGCCATTGAGGATTCAAAACCTTATCTGAGGACTCAGGAATATGAACGTGGAGCACCCCCATTACGTTCGCGCGGAACTGTGTGGGTGTGCAGCTGCGCCCTGGGTTGCTTGCGGAGGGGTTAGGGGAAGGGGGAGCTGGGGATCAGTGCACTCGAACCGCGTGAGACAGAAACAGAAATAGAAACAGAAAGAGAAAGAGAAAGAGAACGAGAAAGAGAAAGAGAGAAAGAGAAAGAGAGAAAGAGAGAAGAACAAAAACAGGTCTCTGTGCGTCACACACAACGGTCGAAGCCTGGGGCATCTTGTCCAAAGGATCAACCTCAGGTGATTCTCAACACCCCCCCCCTCAGAAACCACTCCCTCCTTGCAAGTGCGAGGTAGTGGGAGATGAACGTAGTTTCTGAGGACGATGTTCCCGACCATCCAGAATGACTAATACAATGACATGTTCTGATGTTCCGAGATGGCAATGATCAATGAAATAGGTACCACAGTAACTGCTCGCGATCCACTTGTCTTGCTTCTTGAAGGTGCAGTTTTGGCTGCTTGACATACTGTTCTGATCTTGTTGTAGAGGTTGTGTGTAAGGTGGAAAGATATAGTTCAAAGCCGACATTGTTCTGCATTCATATTATGATGCTGGAGGTGAAGCTTCTTCAGGTTGAGCAAGTCGGCCTGATGCAAGTGGAAGTGTTGCTGGTCGACGGGCTTCCTGTAGATGACCCTGTCCGCTGCTTGAAACTTCCGTGTCCTTCTTGAGTGACTCATCTGCAAATGTGAAGATAGTTCTTCCTTTCCACAGGCTGATCATTGACTTGTTCGCTTGCAGCTCCATTTGCCCTCGAGCATGATCGGGATCTCGGCCATGTTCTGCATGCATCATTTGTGCCGTATGTCCCCGCCAAGATTGACTAAGCAGTTGCTGCTGTTTTTTTCTGGGTGTCGCGAGGTCCTTGTCCTTCTGTCAAAAATCTAGCGGCCCCGCGCGATCTTCGGAGCTATTGCTTCCTTGGACGCGCGACTCGACTCGATGCGCATACAGTCTCGGTCACTACTGATTCTGCAGCAGGAAGCTTGGGGCGCTGTCATCGGTATCATTTTCATATCCACTGAGGGTCTTGGAAGCAAATTCTGTTGCCGCACCAGCTGATTAAGTCGCCAAGCATTGAGGAGTATGTTCAATGGTCATATACAAGCTCCGCATTTGTCCAATCCTGAATATCGGAACTGCGCCCCTCCTCGTCGGCGACGTTGCCTTGCGGTCTTCCTTTTTCGCTTTGCAATAGTGAAATTTCGCCTTGACGCTCCTCTAACAAGATGCATAGCGATCTAGAACCCGAAAAGTATATCTTCGTCCTCGCTTCCCCCGTTGCCATCTTCAGCCCAGTATCCATCCGAGGTCTCCTTTGCTCTCTATTTGCCAGAATATACAAAACATTCTGTCTTGTTGCTCCACCCGCTCGCAGGTTGGGGTCATGAATTGATGTTCTGGTGATGATGTAGAGCTCGTGAGCGGAGTATTTTCTCAATGTCGTTTGACTGATCAGTCTCTCTCTTGGCTGGACGGGTGAGCTCGCTCTGGCGTGCTGAAGAATTGGGCTCTCAGGTTGTCACTCAAGGGAATCGCATGCTGGTGTCGTGTAATTCTCTCCGGTCACTCCACGCTGCCTTGAACCTCCAAAGCAAGATCTCAAACTTGGAAATGAATGTGAGGAGCTCGCTGTGGTTTCTCCAGCGATTGAATAAACTGAGGAGAAGTCGGCAAAAATGCACATCCGTAGAGCCATTCAGGAAATACCGCTTGATGTTCTTGAAGCAGGTCAATTTCTTGGTCTCGATACACGAGGGGTTCACCGCGCAAGGTCCCCACTTTGTTCTTCAGCTCAGCATACCTGAGCCAGCTGACACGTCTGACCTTCATGCAATCACATGTTTCACGCAACCATTTGACCAGAGTGCGCCCTGTCTTGCCTCAAGGTCCTTGCCCCTGGCAGTCCACAATTGTGGCGGCGGAGCAGGTTTTTCTGAAGAGAGACCATGTGTCTGCCAAGCAGGACCACCCCCCCCACCCACACCCAACCTAGGGGTTCCAAAGTGGACACCATTTCAGGGCCACCTTCGACTAAAAAATGGCGCGCTTTTCCGCGTGCGTGCCTTTGAAACCAGCCAGCCACGGTACAGAGCCTCAACAAAGCACCCTCCCCTTTTTTATGCCCCAACCGCATTCGTGCTGAAAGGGGAACCTTCAGCTTTCCTTCTTTTCAACCCAAACGGCGCCGGCTTGCAAAACAAGCTTGTTCTTCTTCTTTTTGCCGCCCACTGGAAATGAAGAGGACCCAAAAAAACGACCAAACACACCGAACAACCAACCTGACAACAGCTGGAAACAACGAACCAACACCTAAACATCTGCCAAAAGTGAAGGACACCACAAAACCCCAAGTCAGGAAAAAAGAAACCGTTCATCAAAAAGCTTCCTTTAAAAAAAAAAACAAAGAAAGATGCTTTTGGGGGGAAAAAGAAGCCACTTCGCCCGGCCTCGAGCGCGGCGAGGGCGCCCTCCCCCAGAGCCGCAAAGAAAAAAAATCGGCGGTCGGATCGGATCGGAGTGACTCTTGGACCCGCGTGGTTTGGCGCCAAAGTCCCTGTGGACTTGGATCCCATTTAGAGAGAGCAAGTAGGACAAGCCTTTCCATTGATTCTGAATCACTGCTTCCAGACTGCTGGCAGGCTGTCGCCTGCAAAGGCCCTGTGGAACAATTTGAGTTCGCCACCCCCACTCTTCAATTTAGTTTTGGATTGAAAGGCCCTTGATTTTTTTCTCTCTTGAAGGGGGTCACAAGAGGCTTCTCTTTGGACAAGCCTACCAGTGACTTGCTTCACTTGGCCTCGTGGTTTGAGTCCGAAACGGAACGTGGCGAGTGAGTTGGTTCAACACTGGCCTCATGATTTTATTCTGATCAAAGTCACCCAAAGGGGGTTGAAGGGAAACAACCACATTTGCTTTGAGAACCCCCAAAAAAAAAACCGGCCGAAAACGGCGGAGTTGGGAGCCCCCCCAAAAAAATGAGAGTTGGGAGTTGGGAGCCCCAAAGCGGGAGAACGCTCGCTGCGTCCTTTCGAAAAACATGTCCCTTTCACTCAGCGAACCGGTGGATTGGCCAAAGTGACAAAACGGTTTTGACCCAAAAGCAACTGGAGAAGGGTGGCTTTCCCTTCGCTCGGTAGTTCCCTCCCGTCAACGTGGAACCTACTGTGGATGGACGAAATCCTGCGCCGCTTTGAAGCTATGAGAAACCATCTTTTGTTTGGTATTTAAAAGGGATCTATCATTCCAGGGTTTCTTAGGTGGCGCAGGATTTCGTCCATCCGCAGTAGGAATTGGCCTGTAAATGGGGCTTCGAATTCCTGTCCGGCCTCCCGTAAGACCCAACATGTGTCACAGGGTGTCTCTTTTACCGGGACCCCCTACAAATGGCTCGGGTGTTTTTGTTTCTCCTCTTGGCCTCTCTTTCAAACCACAAAAACAAAGGGAAGATACCAAAAAACCGCCGAGCCGCCCAAAATGGCAACCGTCCCTTTTTGAGAAGCCCAAGGAGTGAATTCGAGGAGAAAAGCGCGACGCTTCTTTGATTTCCACAAGGCCCCTCCCCCAAAAAAAAGAACGCTTTTGGAACATCGAAAAGGGATATGTTTTTGACTGCGCCTCTACCTTTAGCCTCTGAAGCTGCCTTCAGCACGCAGATTTAACAGTTGATGCCAAAGTTCGTCAGTTTCTGTTGTTGCTGACGATGGCCACAACATGCACTGATCAGCTCGCTACACAAACGTGTCACTCATTTTCCCAGATTTTTCGGGCATCCACTCAAACACGCGTGAACATGGGGATGCCGCAGGCTGCCTGAGGGAAGAAAAACCTGGCGGCCAACTTGGTTTGTCTCCACTGGATTGGCTCGGACCCCTTGCTAGTTCAGTGGATAATTTATTTAATAATGGGAAGCCAAAAGATAGAATGCTAGGCCAAGTGACAAATCCCCTGGAGGCAAATCTGTGCCAATCAAACATGAGATACCCACAATGTCCAAAGTACAAGTTGAAAAAGACTATGGCAACACAAACATGCAATAAGAGATAGACCCCCAAACAAAAACAGAATTGTGTGGCAAATCCCGGACCAGATCTCAGGTTTCCCCAAGTGGGACAAATTAAGCAAGCCAAATTTGGGGGCGCCACTTGTCCTACCAAAACAACAATAGACTGCTAGTACCCTTTTCAGTTGCTCAAATCAGTGAAGAGTAACCCTTGGCCGAACCCCGATTTCGCTGCTTACATCCATCCCAAGGCGCTTTTTTTCGGGCTGCTCTGAAGTACTGAAGCTTTCCATGATGGTTTCCACAAGCAAAACAAAAGTCTCGAAGGGAGAGGCTCCCAAAGCCAAGCCATGTATGTTTCCTAGGGCATCCCTTGCCCCTTCAATTCGTCCAATCAGAAACCCAAAGGGCAATTCTAGATGCTCAAGGTTGTCAAAGTGCCCGTGTCACTTCCGATCGAGATGGCCCAAACTTCTTGCTTGCCGCCAAGAAGGTCTTCCCAGAAAGTTCAAAGTCCAGGAACTCATGAAGTGAGTGTGGATCAAAAAACCGGTACCAAAATGGAACCCTGGTAAGTGGAAACATGGACCAAAACCTGCGTAACCCTCCTGGTTAATTTTGAGCCACACCCAAGTGAGTGTGCCATCCTTTGTACCAAATTGGCCCCCTGTTTCGACCTCACCCCCCCGCCCCCCCATCCCCCCCCCCAACTTCGTGTGAAGCGCTCCAGCTTTTCTCGCACGAAAGCGCGTCGAAAAGGGACCCACCGTGAAAATTGCCGGAATCGCTTGCCCGGCGTGTCGAAGCAGCAAAGTTCTTGACGAGGAAAGCTGCGGGTGGGGGGTTGGGGGAAGCAGCAAAGGTGTCCTTTTGGAAAACAAATAGATGGGTTTCCCTTGTAGATGATTGAACCACCAAGTAAACCAGGCCCCTCCACTTTTTTGCCAAACCTAACCGGAAAGGACACCACCCTGAACATCCAAGAACGGGGCCTTTCGCTCGCTCGACCGCCCGATCGGTGAGCTCGTTCTAACTGCGCTCCGAAACAGAAAAGCGAAAATGGAGGCTGAAGCAACAAAATCCGTGAAGCAATGAAGTAAAAATGAAGAAATCACACAAACACACACATAAAAAAACAAACATGCTCGTAACATAGATGGTTTGCGCAACTGTTTGTCTGCCTTTGGCTCAATCCTCAACCGGCTTGCGGACTCATCCAGGGATGCGGCCTGGGCTGTTCCGCAGCGGCTTTGACACCTACAAGAAGAGTCTGTCTCAGAAATTAGGAGCTCCTTTTGCCCAAGAAACAAGCTACAGGAAAAACAACTACCGGAGATCCTTGTGTTTGGTAGGTATGTGGCCAATTTCCTGTAGAAATTCCTGTAGCTGGCTTCTATGATTCTGCCTGGATCGCCAGTTGCGAGCGCTTTTTTCCATGCACTTTACCCCAAGAACCAGCAAGGGTCGGGTGTCTGAAAACAAGCGGCTAAAAGGGACACCTATTGTTCCAACTCTTGAAATTCCACTGCCGTAGTTTTCGCCAACAAGAACAAGTCAACCTACTGTGGATGGTTGCGAAATCCATTCCGCACCACCTTTCAGAAACCCGGAAATGCTTCAATTCCCCGTACGTACCATAACAATCGCGATGGTTTCAACCACGGTTTCATTCACAGCGGTGAAATAAAACGTTCGCCATCCATATCAAGCCCTTCTCGTCATGTTTCTCGTCAGGCGCTTTCCGCTTCCCTTGGATGGCGAAAACTGCAGGGCGATTTCTCTTTCTCCCGAGCTCGGCACTCCAGCAGCCGAAGGCCCTGCATGCCGCCCTTCCTGAAGGGGAAAAACCTCAAAAGGTCAATGATCCGCTTCCGTCGTTTGGTGGCTTGGAGCCGAATCGGAGGTTTGGTGAAATGGTTTGGGGTCACCCCCATGTACACCTCTACAAGAACCGGCTCTAATCTCAAACCAGCGGGCTCCAAACCACCAATTAGTACTGTGGATGGTTGCGAAATCCATTTCGCACCACCGTTCAACCCAACGGATTGATACGATTCCCCTGTAAAAGCCAACCAGCATTGGTTTTTCAGCCATGGCTTCATTCCGTGGTGCGAGACTCGCGGAGTTCGCAACCATCCACGGTAGGGGAACCTGAAATGATGCCTTGGCCCCGATCCCAGGTGTCCGTGGCGATTTTCGCCACGTTTTCGTAGGGGAAAAAAATCCCTGCGATCCCCACGCTCTTGACTCTTGGCTTTTCGTCTGCTTGGTGGGCGATTCGACGCTTTTTCGTAGCGAAAGCCCTTCGATCCATGAACTCTTCTCTTGGTTTTCTTCATTTGGTAGGCCGGCCCCCAGCCATCCGGTTCCTGAGCTTTTCAGCTTTTTGGTGGGGAGTTCCGTGTAACCCACTCAAAGTTAACCTAGCGGGGGATCGCCACGGACAGCCCAGTGAACTCATGAATTCCAATGATTCAGACCTATAGCAAGGAGGGAGCCAAGGGATCATGCGCTTGGTCCTTAACTAATGGACGCTGGTCACTAAGAGTCGCTAGTCGCTAGTCTCTAGCCTGCATTGGAACTCGCCTATGGCTCTGAATCAGTAAAGGAGGCCGAAGAGTTGTATGGTACACTCCCCATACATTTGTTTTTAGGCCCGGTTCTTTGGTAGTTTATGGGATTGCCCAGTATATGAACGGAGTCTCCAAAGATATGTTCTGGTTAGAGTAGGCCAGACATGGAGTAAAGTCAGAACATACGATTTTCCGTGTGCCGAGGGGGAGGGGCATTTTTTCATCGGACCCAGTTAAGATTCGCGTGGGTTCGCACAACGCAGTGGAAGCGGACTGAAGGTGACCGCGTGAATCTTCGGAAAGAGGCAAAATGTCCAGGGGCTGATTCCAACCATTCTTTTCAACCATCCTTCTCTTCAAAAACCGGTCGCCGTTTTCACCTGGTGTCCGGAGATCTTCTTAGAAAGAAGGATCCCTGGAAAGAATGGGGAAGGTCGCCTTAGAAATTTGGCGGAAGATCAGCCGGCCCAAAGAAGCCCAGACAGGCTAATCCTAAGCCGCAAGGGTACCATAGATGTCCTTTTGGCAACATGGAATGGGTTTCCCTGGAAAACGGATTGCATCAAAACTCAGCTAACCCAGCAGAACCCATCTATTGGAATCTGTGCCATGACTCCTATCCATGGAAACCAAAAACAAACTCCCAGTGGAAATCAGGCTAACCGCCAAGTAACCTGCGTTGAAACAAAAGGAAGCTCACCCCAAAGGTGATGTTTAAAACCACCAAAAGGGGTAAACCGCCGATCTTGGAGACGTCACTCCCTTCCATTTGCTTGAGCCCCCTGGGGAAAAAAAGAATCCAGTAGTGATAAATTCCCTTAAATCCAACAAGTGAAAAATACAAGATATTCTTAAGCAAATGGATTCTCCCCCCAACTTCCATCAGTCCTCACCACCTCGCCCGCTTCCAAGCCGTGTGCCTGGCTTCGTCAGATATTCTAGAAGTAACTTCCATGTCCATTCTTTCCAGGGATCCTTCTTTCCAGAAAACCCCCAAAACCCTGGGGAAATGGCGATCGGTCTTTGGAACAGAACGATGGCTGAAAAGAATGGACTTGGAATCAACCCCTAGAGGTATGAAATCTAGGGCCTCCAATGGACCCCTTCTCAAAGTTAATTTCATGGGGCCTGGGGAGGGGGGCGGAGAGCCCAAATAAAGCCAATATGTGTTTGTTTGTTTTTGTTTTTTTGTTCGGGTGGGGAAACCTCCTCGAGGTGCTTGCATGTTGAGGGATCTGCTCTCTCGAAACTTTGGAGGATGGGTAAAGAAGGTGGGAGAGCCCCAATGGAATTTTACGGCTTGGATGTCACCTATCATGGACAAGGTGTCTGGACTCTTGGATTTGACAAGGAGACACCTAGCAAATCCCTGTGCATCAAAGATTCTTGAGAACTTGCGTCACTGAAAGCGTTGTCCAACACACCGCAAAATAGGGGTCTCTACATAGCGTCCTTTTTGGAGAGTTCGAAGAAAGGGCTGGCCTCAAACATGGGTTGGTGCATGTTGACACTTGTCGGAGGACAAAGTGGCACATCGAATCCGCTTCTGGCATCTTCCAAGGGCCTGATTAGGCTGTAATATAGCTAGGTCCTCCAGTTGAGAGGTTGATAAAGGGTACCCTTTTCTCAGTTGTGTCAATTTTAGTCGGGGAACCCTCCCCAAAAAACGGGTAAAAGGGCACTACTCAGGAAACCAAGATAGGGCCACATGTTGGTGAAACAGAGGGAGGGGGGGTTTACGGACTCCGGGACGGAGGCGCTGGAATCCTACCAAGGGATCAATGGGGCTGTCGCTTCTTGGGGAACCCCCTGCCTTTTGGGCAGGTACCATGTACCCCTAGCCTACCCTTGCAGAAAACCACAGAAGCTCAAATGGGCTTCTGGGTACATGAATGGTATCTACCTGGACCCTCAAACTACCCATAAACATGGGATATCACCAACCATAATCTTGGGGGTCCTTGACCCATTTCGCAGTTGGACTTTTGAGGGTTCAGGTAGCCCCATATGGCCCATATTCCCCATGCCAGGGGCACCCACGCGGTGCCGAGAAAAGGAGACCAAAGGGAATCCTCCTGTTTGAAGGGTTCCGCCATGTTGAGAACCCAAATCCACTTCGCGGCCTCGTCATCCACCTTAACTGGTGGAGCCAGTCCACAGAAAACTATAGTAACCAGAGGAACCCCCTGACTTTGTCATTATACTATTGTTTATTTTTATTTTTATTTGTTCTTTTTATTCATGTGTTTTTGGGCGGGGGACCATGGGTTGAAACCCTGTGAGACACACCTTAACCCTTCCAAACACCGTTTTAGCACCCAAGAGCCGGTCCGGTCCGGCCAGTTCAAAGGGGAGGGGGGTTTGCCCAACTCCAAATCCATCGCCCGTGGCATTTGCCGCTCGGTTTGCAGCCCCTGGCTTTTTTTTGGGGTCCTCCAGATTTGAGAGGTTACAAGTTGGCACCCTGATTTCTTCTCTGTAATCGTTCTTTTAGCAGGGAAACCCTCCCAAAGGGTAAGAAAGGGCACTGGGGGACCTTCTATCCGCAAGGGACGGAGGGATTGGCTTAGCCCAGCAGGTTCAAAACCTGCCAAAAGTCAGAGTGAGAAAACCCCTGCTCGGTTGCTTTCTGCGAAGCCCTGCTAAAAGTTTAACTTTTAATGGTTTAGTGGAAAACCCATTAGTTGGCAAAAAGTTAAAGTCCTAACAGCCCTTAGCAAAATGCACCAAAGCCTAGTATGCAACCACTTTGAGGGACCCGGAACGAACATCTCGGGATCCGAAGGGTCAAAAGGGCCAACGAAGCCTTCGACCTTCCCCTTGATCCTTCCAGAAAAGTGTGGAACACATGGGTGTGGCTCAAAATGAAACGATCGGAGGGGCAAACCGCAGGTTTTGGTCCATGTTTCCACTTACCGATCGGGCAAGCCATTCTGGAATCCCGCCACAGCCACATGGTGATGGCCTTGGCTGGGGGAATACTCAAAAAAACACCTTCCAACCCAAAGTGAACAAACATCTTTGCCAACTCAAGACATAAGACCCAGGTCAATGAGGGGGCCAGGCAAGGGCTGGGGCAATGGGGGAAGGCTCATGATCCGTGATTTTCTTTAGCATCCCAAAGGCTTCGTTCCCCCACGCCCTCAACCTGAAACCGACTGAGAACCAATCATCTCTTCATTTGGGGAAAAAATATACCTCTGACCTTGATTTCATGGACCCTGGGGGAGAATTTAAAATTTCAGATCCCGTCGATTTGAGGCCGCTTCGAAAAAACGGATCCCAAGCTCCGCCAGCTTGGCGGAACTGACTCGCCACCCTTTTCGCAGCCCGAACTCGACTTCGCCTTCATCTGCCGGCGCACCGCCTCCAGGCCCCCCACAAAGCCGGGAGCCTCCACTGCGAAGTGCTCGCCTGCCGAATCCGAGGAAAGCCGACGAGGAAAGCCGGAAGCTCCAGGGCGCTGCGACTGGTTGTTTGGGGTAGTCGGTTTTTAAAGGGGGTTCCCCCAACCAAAAAAAGGTTGAAAGGTTCGCCTACTGGGCTATGGTGTAGCGTCGAGAGGGTACCAATTGATGGAGAATGGTTGGCACCAAGCGTGCCCTTGATTTGCCTCTTAAATGTCACAAAGGAAACTCACTTCAAAGGGATCAAATGCTCGAATTGACCCCTCCAGGTTTCATGCCAGTCCTCTAGTTAAAGTGAAGAGTTGACACAACATATCTTTCCAGCAACAAACATGGCTTGGCGTGATGTAGTCCATTTGGGTTGGCGTTGAATGTGAACCCAGAACATCACGCAGAACCCCTGCTTGATTTTCAGGGGGTCCGGATCACGTTCACCTTGTTGATCTGTGAAGTTGATTCATCCGCTGCGCTTCAATGTTTGTTGGTGAGGCACCTCGCTGCGAGTCCAATCCTCTATCATTGGCTAGTCAAGGCTTGCCGACCCATGATTTCAGCGTACAACTCCCTTCCAAATGCCATGAAACAAATACCACGCGAAGAGCAACCACCCTCTTTCCAATCAAAGCGGACCACGGCGCTTTTCAACAAGGGCGCCATCTTCCAATCCCCTCTTGTCAGCTTCCATTGTTTGAGGGAGGCTCTGCAGGACCCCTGCAGGACCCCAAGGAGGTGAACAATCCAAGTTTGATTCCTCAGGATGGGCTTTGGCGGCTCAAGGCTCTGCAATCAAAGTTCCGATCGCCCCTGGTTGGACATCGATTTTTTTCTCCTGGGCCTGTCAGTCCACTTCCGGTACTTCGGCTTTGGCTTTCCCTGAGTATTTCCTATATGTTGGTTGATGCGGGGGCGAAGCTTCTCCCCCTGCCTTGGGCTACCCATTTCTGAAGAGAGAACGGCATTCCGCTTCTGGTGGGGTTGAGGGCAATTACCCTTTCACTTCAGGTCACGTAAAAAAAACTGATTCCAAAGGCACTCCCCTACAGGTTAACATGGAACCCACAAACCCGGCCATTTGAGGAACGGCACGCGGCACCTCCTTTTGGGAATCGAACCCCCTGTTTTTGGGCAAGCCATGCAAATTTGGGGCCCCCTTAAGTGTTGTTCCTTTTGGGTGTCCCTTTCAAACCACCAAAAACAGATACCCTCAATCAAAGACACACCCATTTCTAGGGAAGTCACTGGAAACCGCGAAGGCCTTCCCAAAACGGCTATCTCTCCCCCGAATTTGTTCGTTGGTGTCCTCCATCCCGATAGACGCGGTAGGCCGCTGCCTCAGCATGTAGCATCACAACTCCCCAAGTGGCCCACTCACTGGCTGTCACAACTCCCCAAGTGGCCCACTCGCTGGCTGTCACAACTCCCCAAGTGGCCCACTCGCTGGCTTGTGATACAGCAAGGCGTCCCAAAGACTAACCCTCCATAAGCGCGAGATTCCAACTTGTATCACAGAAGTGGGGATAAACCCCTTTTTGTGATCCCACAACCCTGCTTCCCATCGAGTGGATTGGCAACCAAGCATTGGGAACCACCTGGATCGCCAAGTTGCTTCCTTCTGTCTTCCAAAACCCGTCCCAGCTTTTGCTGGGAAAAGCCGCAACTAGGCACTTTGTTTGTGTGCCACTCAAATGATATTCCCAAAAAGTGGCTAAAGTCCGAAACGGAACTCAGGGAGTGGGCCTATGTTGGCATAGGTCCCTTAAAAAGCCCAAGAACTGTCCACAGACGAGACGGGCGTGGCATGTGGAACGTTTTTGTGGGTGGGAAATCAGTTTTGACAATGTTTATGGATAATGGCACTTCAACCCTCTACCTCCTAGGTGTTGATGGCCCAAAGGATGTTTTGACCAGGTGATACAACTCAGGGTTCGCTGTATTTCACCTTCAAACATCACCCAACTCCCTTTCAATCCTGTCAAGCACAGGGAAAAAGGCTCTGGTCCGGAAACATCTTGGCAGGCGTCACATCCGGACCCCTGTGCTCGAAGTCTTCCACAGAAATCTTCATCTCTGGGACAGACTAGACATTGTCCAGCCAGTTCATGCCGTGCGACCAGAAGCGTACAAGCCTTCGCCACGATCGTCAACCGATTCAGTGAGCCCTCGTACAAAATGGGAATGGACGAACATATGGCTTTCAGCCAGTGCTCTGCGCTCTGAGAATCCCGCCGCTTGTACAGCCAGCCAGGCAACGCAATACCGAAAAATGGCCACGGTTTAAAACGTTTGCTTTTTTGACATATCACCCAAACAGGGGTCTGAAATCCATTTTGAGAAACACCCATGTGGCGTTGTCTCACTCCTTTTTCAATCCTACTGTGGATGGACGTAATCCTGCACCGCTTTGATACTATGGGAAACCAATAGTTGCTGGTAAATACAGGGGAATTATCATTCCAGGGTCTCCTAGGTGGTGCAGGGATTCGTCCATCCACAGTATGCAAGTTCTGAGCACAAAATTGAGAGGACAATTCAACGGCACTTTGGGAGCTGCAGCGCAAACGTGTCTGCAACAGCTCTGGCATCGATTTTCACTCTACTCATGTTGTAAGAAAATTCGGCAAACCATCAGTTTAGGGGAAAGGAATTGTTTCCCATCTAGATTGCGACTTGACATTGAAATCCAAGTCAATTATACAAGTGCTCAATGTTTGTGCAGTGCCATCTACATCCCGATTAAACTCTGTACATCTGCGAATCCATTCAATCTAAAAGATGCTCAGATTGACCTTCATGCTTGAGGGTGAAAACCGAAGAAGCGCAAATGATGCAACATACAGAGTTTTACCATGTTATATAAATACGTGTAGGGTTCTGGTATACATATATGCACATATATGTGAACATATATATATATATATATATGTATGTGCATGCATACAGTTATAAATATGCATATACATATACATATACATATGAACAGGCTTGGGGCATGCTCGGACAGTGTACTAAGGCAATGGAGCACTTGCTGACCTGGAACATGGGGGCATAGTAAGTACCCCGATTTGGTTTCATATACATCTATATAGATATATGATATATATATATATATGTAGTATGGGATTCAAGACTCAAGACTCCCAACAAACATAGTCTCAGATTCTTGAAGCTTGCGTCTTAAATCCCGAAACTTCCGTAAATTCTATCATCTGAAAAGCATATATGGGATTCTAGATCCTAGATTCAAGATTCCCAAACATATGCTTCTCTGAAATGTTTAAATGTTTCTATGTGGTTGAACAATGTGAGATTCAAGATTCAAGATTTCCAAATATGCTTGTCAGATTATTGGATCTCGAAGTAGTGTGTCCCAATATGCATGAGATGCATGTAAACACCTGGCAGGTGGCAAATGGTGGCATCATTGCTTGCAATACATGTGTGTTTTTTTTGGAAACAGTGCACCCGCCCCACACACACACACACCACACCCAATTCTGCCACAATATCAATATTGAACGAAACCAATCGTAAGAAACTGGGGAAACACACACGCACAAAACTAAAAGCCGGAAAAAGCCAGGTCCATGAAAAGGGTACCATATATGTGTATGTATACGTATTTGCAGAGATAAACATACTCTGGGTACGTATGTGTGTTACCTGCGTTCTAAATTCTCTGTAGCAGGGAGCCCCCAAAATGAGCCCCGGGGGGGGACACCTAGAGTCTATTTTGCACCCACACCCTATAAAAAACCATACCCTAAAAGAAGGAGGTGGCGAAATAGACCCCTTCAGTGTCCACCATTTCCGGGGGGGAGCGCCCGCGGCCCCGCGGGGCTCGCTCGAGGCGCCGGCCCGGCGCAGCAGCGTCCACGCGCTCTCTGCGGCCTGGGGCTCCTGCGCCTGAGACGGGCGGACGACTCGCGAGACGGGCGGCGGGTGGAGCGCTCAGGGCGGCGGGGGGACCCTGGTCGTTTCTCTCTTTGAAAGCCACGCAAGAAGGGTTGGGAGTCTCGAAAAAGCAGCGGTCCTGGGCGTTTTTGAATTTAAGACCACGCGAAAAGGGGGGGGAGAGCCTTTTAAACCGGTGATTTTCCTGTTAAAAGCCACACAAAGTTGGGGGGCGAGCCTTTTAAAAAAAGAGAGAGAGAGAGAGACCCAAATGGAACCCACAAGGGCCTCCCAAAGACATGTTCTCCCAATTTTGTTTTGAGGGGATTGAATCCTTCTATCGCGGTGGGAAGAAACCTCGAGTGATCCCGCAACCATGAAATTTGGAGGGGGTCCATATACCCACCACCCAAACGACTTCCAAAACACAAATTCCGTTTTTCGCCCTTAATTACCCGTTTTTGGTGGAAAGGTAGAAAACAGGGGGCGGTAGGCAAAAAGAAGTTGGGTTGGGAGTTTGGGAACACCTTCGGGCTGGCTTGGGGGTGGACATATCCCTTCACCACCCAAAGGGGTACCGAGCCTCAAACAAAAGGCACTCACATGTTGACCCCCTCATCCCCGAAGACCTCCAAAAGGCCCAAAATCAAAATCAAAATCAGATGGCAACCCCACCATCCGATTCGATGCAATGGGCAATGCGAGCACTGAGTCCCAAAACTTCACCTACTCAACTCTTACTTTGGGGTGAATGTTGACCCCATATTCATCAACCCCTGTCTTTCACACGGCGTGTCCCTAAGTTGGTGGGGAGTCATCACTTTTGGAGGGGAACACCCCCCCATATTTTCACAAACAAGTTGATTGATTCATCTGGGGTCAACATTAAGCCAAACGCGACGACGTCACCAACGACCGTCAACGAGCTGACGAGTTGACGAGTCAATGACTGGGTCCTCCAGTAGAGAGGGTAGAATAAGGGCACCAACTTTCTCCTGTGATCTATTTTTAGTAGGGTCCCGAACCCTCCCAACCAAAAAAGGTTAGAATAAGGGTACCCACTTTTTCCTGTGATCTATTTTTAGTAGGGTCCCAAACCCTCCCCACCAAAAAAAAGTTAGGATAAGGCTGCCCACTTTTTCTGTGGAACTATCCCCGCCAAAAAATGGTAAAAGTTGGCACCCTTTCGCTGGGGGGCGCGTCGATGAAGTCGAGTCGTGGCGCCTCTGGAGGCTTCAGACCCTTCGGCAGCAACTGCGCCACCAGGTCCTTGACGCCGCTCAAGGCGTCCTCCGGCACCTTGGAGAGGAGAGGCGATGTGTTTGTTTTTGTTTAAACAAAAACAAAAAATCGGGGAAGGGACACCCGCATGTTGGGGGTCAGTTACCACTAAAACAATGAAAATTATAGGAGAGGAGACTTTTTTGGGGGGGGAACCCAAGGAAAGCCTGATTTGGGGGGGCAGTTACCACCACTAAAACAATGGAAACTAATATGACCGCCATTGCTTGCCTAAGGTCTTCATCTAAATTGGGTCAACCAGTTTCTGTTGTTTTCTTTAATGGGTTGAAGCCTAGGGCTCAGGGGAAAACCCCAGGAAAGCTCAAAGGAAGACCTCGAGAAAAATCTGAAGGGACATGTACAGCAACACCAAACCAAAGCTGAAAGACATACTTCCAGGAAACCTACAAAGAAGGCCTAAAGGAACCATGTCCCGAAATGTTTGCTTGGGTTGGGAATAGACTGACTACTGGAAATATCAGCCCAACCTCGGTTCCTCTTCGGTCTCCCTTTCATAACCGCAAAAGGGTTACCTTCTTGCCAACAGTTGAAGTGCACAGCCCTGTGTTGGACGATGTTCATCTTGGAAAGGGAACCTATGCGCTTTCATGATCAAGGAGTGCCATCTCCAAAAAACGGAACCACCTTCCCCACATATACAGGTTTGTTGGAGATGGTCCCAGTTTCCAGCAGTCTATCTATGGCATCAAAATTTGGCCTGTTGGAACTCCCGCCCTGCTCGGGGGCAAGCTTCCCTCAAAGACTGCCCCAGTCTATCACTGCCCAGTTGGCCAGTGACCCCACCAGAATGAAACCCTTTTCGGACCAGCGCCGGCAAAGCGAAAAGGTTTCGGTGCAATCCACGTGGAATCCACTCTTCAGTGGGCCAGGTTCCCTGAGGGGTATAAATGCTACGCCAAGTAAAACGAGGGGAACCCAGTGGATCCCGGGCGTTTCGCCACTAGATAACCCTTCGATCCATGTTCAACTCCTATGGGGGGGGTTCCCTTGGCTGCCTGCTATACAGGTAAATGGATGCACTGGGAAAGATAACCCAACCCACTAGTGTTGCTTGAACCCTGCTCGCAAGATACACCTGCCTTTGTTTGACTCCCTCCTGCTGGGATTGAGAAACCGCCAAACAAAACGGGTCTAGAGGTGCCCGTCATACACTGGTCTCAGTTGCCGACTGAGACCACAATCAAAGCCTGACATTTAAAAAGAGGCGAATGTTAACTTCGGACTAGTCTCCCTGATTGGTAGGGTCCCCGGATCAATGCGAGTGGGGCCTTGACAACACTTTGCAAATTCAACAAGATGTCCACCCGGAATAATAAGCATTCCATCCCCGCGGTTCTTGGACCTACATCATGGTTTTCGATCCCGAATCCCTGCTTCATGTGGAATCGCTCGCCAAGAATCACAGGAGGGGGTGTAGCCAAAACAACCTTTGTCATCAGGCCGTTCTTGGGTGGCTGGTTTCTGGAAAGGGTATGGGGAAGCTACCACTCATGTTGACCTCGGAAAGTAGAACCCGCGACCTTTCGCTTTGGTATCCTCCGGATTCTCCGGGGATTTCAAGCCCATGTAGCCTCCAGACCCAGGGGCGGGGCCCCAGGGCCCCAACTCCAAGGCCCAAAAATCTCAGACAAAAACCGAAAACCTGTGCTGAAAGCGCTCGGATCTTTCCGGACTGGGGGCCCAGGCGTAGGTGCCCCCGTCTTGGAGGCTCAAGATGTCCCAATAGTCGCGCTGGCTCAACACCTCGCGCCACAAAACCGGCGGGGCAAAAAGCTGGGGCCTAAAGCTAGCCTGAAGCAACTTGGATCCTGAATTATCTAACTCCTCCAGATTTGAGAGGTTAGAATAAGCTGGTACCAACTTTTTCAGTTTGGTCTATTTTAGTAGGGGAAGCCTCCCAAAAAACAGAGTACACGGGGGTTGTCTTTGCCGCAAAACTCCCCAGTCGACATGTGTCCAAATCGATGGGAACCCAAAGTAAAGCAGCAAAGCATCCGTGGCATTGTCTAAGCTCTCATAAGAGTCTATGACCATCAATAGTGACCCAAGAATAAGGGAGCTCTAACCTGGCAAATACTGGGAACCCAGGATTGAGCAAAACCCTGGTTGATGAGTAGATGTGTGTGTGTGTGTGCGGCCATTTTAGAGGGGATTCTTGACTCAACATCCACAAAACCATGAGGTTGATGAATCCGGGGTCGAACCACACAGAAATAGATGATCCTTGATTAGTTGTCCCTTTTGAGTCCGAAGTTGACATTAAAGGGAACCCAAGACAGCTGTTTAATCATGTGTTGACCAATCATGAATTTGGTTTGATCCCGAGGACCATACTAGGCCGGTCTTTCCTTTCAGTGGTGGAGTAATCCACTAAGGGGGCTTCTCTGACCAGTATGGCCTTGCAACGTTAACATTCTTGCTTAGGATTTGACGTCTTGCTGAAACCAGTTTAAGCAAATATTGCTTCGCATGGTCCTTTTGATTCATCCGAAGTCATCAAACGGAACCCCAGGCACGCTTCAATACTTGTTCAAACAATTGTTCAACAAACCTGCTTTGGGTTTCCCTAGGTTGCTTCAAGCTTATGCCAACTTTACACCCCAAGTACAGAATAAAAGGACACCATGAAAAAAGACCTGAAGAAGGGCGGGTGGGTCTTCCCAAGCGTTGGTTCAAATTTGCATGTCTCATATTGCCTCCAACCCGGGCTACAGTCACGGAAACGGCTGACAAGGAAAACCCGAGATCGAAGGGGTCGACCCAAAACCGCTAGAATACAAAGGGCCAACTCGCGTCCTTTGGACTACACCCCCAGGTCCCCAACCCGAACCACGGTGACGGGGATTCGCTCACTATCAAAGAATTGAAGGGCGCCTTGTCCGCACCGTTTTTTTGGCAAAGGCTCCGCTTTGATTTCAACCGCCGCTGTTGGCTGGGCAACTGCCCTTAGGGGCCCCTGTACAACTTAGTAGCCTACTACTCGCAGTGACCTACCAACCTTCTACCAATGTTCACTTCGGAAAATTAACAACAACAACAACAAAACATGTCCCTAACCGAATGGAAGATTGCCTGTGTAGTAGGTAACCCAGAAAAAAAGAAAGAAGGCCAACCTCACACGTTTGTTGGTTACGCATCGCGGCGAAAGGGGGATTGGGATCCACTGGCTTTTGACCAAGTGGCTCCTATCGCTTGAGGCATCCCATTTAAAACACCACAAACCGCAAACAGGACAAGGACACCCCAGGCCTTTTCTTCTTGGAGCTGAAGACACACCCACGGTTGTAGGGAAACATGTTCCCCATTTTTGTTTCTTGTGGTTTAGTGGTTCAAGTCCGAATCCACTTAACTGCTAAAATCTAATTCTTGTTGCTCCCCTTCCAACGGAAAAACCAAGCTTGTGGGTATTAGTCAGGGGTCAGCATAGGAACCGAGCACATCACCCCGGCTCGCCGAATCTCACCGACGCGAGCCTTGGCATCCTTGGCATCGATGGTGTACTCGGAGACCTCGTTCCGCCCTCCCCTCTTGCGATCGCGATACGGGAATGAGAAATTCCAGGGCTACCTTCCATTTCTATTCCAGGGATCCGAATCTTTCTAGAACCTCCGGAAACCCTGGTTGAAAACGGCGACTTGGCTTTTTGAAGGAGGGTTGAAAAGAACGGAAAAGGAAAATCAACCCCTAGAATTTTCCCCTGGCAAGGTTAACCCCGGATTCATCAACCCGTCCGACTAAACGGGTGGGTCCCGGCTGAAAAGAATGGACTTGGAAAATCAGCCCCCAGAGAAACGGAAGGACCAACTGATAGAAACCCTCCAACTGGTCGCTTTTAGGGTAAGGATTCATAGGTGGCCTTTTGGGGCAAATAGATGGGTTTCCCTGGTAGATGATTGACCCACCAGGTAAACAAGGGAAACCCATCGATATTTCAACCAAACCAAAAAGGACACCTATGGTAAGGACTCGGACCCCCCCCAAGATGGCGCAACGGGTTGCAGGTAACCGTTGCCCCAGGGAAGGGGAAACTGGCCACCCCAAAAGAGGGAAAAATGGATCGAAGGCGTACCTGTGGCGAAACGCCGGGGATCCACTCGGGGGGAGAAGTTACCAAGGGTTTAGAGGGGTGTCTTCTCTTGGTTGCGAAATCTGCTCCCCTGCTAACAGTGACTAACTTTTAGTGGCTTAATACGGAAAGCCCCTTAGTTGGCCAAAAGCATGAAAAGTGCCCAGATCCAAGCAAACTTTGCGCCCAAGTTCTCTCATTTTTTGCCAGGCCAGCCTTCCTGGCCAACAGGCCTCGATGTGGCGCATCTCTCGGCCCTGGGGTTTCCGGGCCCCGCTGAAGACCGCCTTCGGCTTCCAGGGCAACAGCTTGAAGACGAAGCCTGAGACGTCCCGCCAGCCGAAGCTCGTCGAATCGGATCGTTGATCGTGCGGTCGGTGGGTACCTGGACCCTCAAACTACCTATACAAAAAAGGAGATCACCCCATAATTTTGGGGGTCAAACCCATTTTTAAGGGAGTTTTGAGGGTTCAGGTAAATGGAAGTTTAATCAAACACTAAAATGATCAAGCTAAGGAACCGGATGGGAACCACCAAGGTTTGGTCAAGCATAGATGGAAAATCGGGCGGTATGGCGAAGCGTGCTCGGACAGTATAAGACCTGGGGGGCGGTTCAAATCCGTGGAGACCACGAGTCTGGCTAAGCACCCCCAGATGGGGGGTTTCAGCCTGGTACATGTGGTTCCCTGGCACGGATGAAACCCATGACGAAGTGGAGTTCGTCCATCACTGCTGCGGATGGTTGCGCAAAATCAGCGAGTCTTGGACCGTGCTAAGAAACCCAACGGAATCAAATTCGATCCCGCAACGTAACTACCGTAACAAACGGTATGGTTTCAAAGTGGTGCAGGATTTCGCTCATCCACAGTAGGTGAATCCGTTTGGTTCAAAATGGATGCGTTCCCTGGTAAATAGACTAAAACCAATCTCAACCAGTGGAACCCATCCAAACTAACCTTAAAAGGGACTGCGTCCTTAGAATTGTCCTTAACTTTTCCCTCGCCGAACCGGTTCCTCTGCCCACAGGACTAGCCCTGGTGTTTCTAGGTGAAACCTGCTGATTAATAATAGATGGATGAATGGACGGCATAAGAAACCATCTAAACCAGTGGAACCCATTTTTCTTGAAACCAAACTCACCTGCTGGTTAAAAGTATGGATTTGCCTGGGAAGTGGATGGCGTAAAAACCCATCTAAACCGGTGGAACCCATCCGTTTTGAACCAAACTCACCTTAAGAGCCGGTGTTCTCTGTCCAAAGCGTCCCAATTACTCCCCGTAGAAATTGACATGGGATGTCCCAAAACGGAGTCCGATTCACAAAAGGAGCGCCCGTTCCTACAAATGGTGGTGTTTTGGGTTCCATGTTCATCTGTCGTGGCGATCTCTGCCCAAAGGACCTTCCCGATTCATGTCCACGTTGGATTCATCTGGAGGACGTTGGCAAACGGAAAATCCACCGGATGTGACCGTTCAGTGTCCCCTTTTTGGTCCGTTTTGTCTCATGGCCAAAAAGCATGCTCAACGTTTATTTCTGGGTCCTTTGAGCGACTGTACACCCCTGATTTGCTGCCTTTACCCAAAGAACCCTCCCCTACTCTATCGGGAGTGTTCACAAGCCATTTAGGAGGATACCCAAACTCATTACCAATTCGGTTTCTCTGTTCGTTTGGTCCTGCCTTCAGTTCTCAAGCGCGCCCTTTTTGCCCTGACAAAACGCCAAACCAAGTCCCAATTACCCCCCCTAAACTCGCCAGTCGCAATAGGTCAATCAATCTGGTGGACCTGTTCCAGGCTTCTTTGAAACGGGAATTTGGTGAACTCTAAGTCTGAAAAATGTGTTTTGCTGCGTGTGCCCATTGCCATCTCCCAAAAACTGTGGATGAGAGAAAAAACTGTGGATGAACAAATCCTGTACCGGCTGGTAGGCTGTTTATCCTGTTTCATCCCATTTGAATGGCTGTCATCCATCCCAACAGCCACAAAATGGATTCTGTCCACCCACTTCCTATGGCAAGCGGACTGTGCCCATCCACTGTGTCCACTGAGACCCACAGAGATTTCGCCCAAAGTAACATCGGTTGCTTTCCGCGAAGCCCTGCTAAAAGTTCAACCTTTAGTGGTTCAATGGAAAACCCATTAGTTGGCAAAAAGTTAAAGTCCTAACATCCGAGCAAAATGCACCAAAGCTAACGGTTCCTTCACACCTCATCCCCTCCAAACCGTCCGATTGCAACCAGCCCCTCTGGGGGCAGCCGGCCAAGCGTCCACCGGGTGCGCAAGCGCGTGGGCTCACCGGGGACCTGCTCCAAAAGCAAAGAAAACCCCCGTGCTTCTTGGCCCAAGTCTACACACAACATTCTAGGGGTTGGTTCCCCATTCTTTTCAACCATCTTTCTTTTCAAAAACCGATCGCTATTTTCCCTGGGCTTCCGGAGGTTTTCTAGAAAGATTCGGATCCCTGGGTTCAGAATGGACATGGAAGGTACCCCTAGAAACATGTGACGAGCTCCCCTTTAGGGACCCACAAAAAAATATGTTCATTGGCCTCAAATCAATGCTGTCTTTGGGGTTTTAGTGTTATTGTGCCCTCAAGTATAACGCTGTTGCCATCATGTTCTTTGGTTTTTTTGGCATCGTCATTGTGTTTGGCTAGATTTACAATATTCATAGTGTCAATGTCACCTTCACTTTTAATATGACTATATGACTATATAAGCGATTTTTGGGTGATCACCTTTTGGGGCCATGACAAAAAATCGACCAACAAGGGGGAACCAGAGGGTCAAACGGTCGGCTTGGGCAAGTGAGTGCCTCGTCAATCTTAAGACGTGCTTGAAGCAAATCCCAGAAGCCGACACTGGTTCAGCGCCTACGGGAGCGATGGGAAGCTTTTGGCCCCTTTCTACGTGGCCGAGAGCTTTCTGACTTCGCTCGGCTGTGGCTCCCCTTGGCTCTGAAATAGTTGGGGCATGTCAAATGATGCCCAACTAGACAAAACGGTAGCGGCCATGAGCCATGAAACAATCCCCCCCCCCACCACACAATACGAAAGCAAATTAAAGCGACACCCCCCCCCCCACCCCGCCCACTTAAAAAAAAAACATAGACCCCGGATAGCAAAAACATGCCAATGATCGCCACCAGCACCTGCAACAGCACCCCCGAAGAGTGCCCCAAACAGCACCCGGCCGGCGATCTCGCAAAAATGTGCCTGCACCGTCACCTGCATGCCCCCCGCACCCCGCCGTCAATCTCGCAAAAATGAGCCCACGTCACCAGCACCTCAAACCCGCCCACACTGCAGGTTCTAGCACCCTGCCTCTCGCAAGAGTGCGCCTGCACAAACACCATCACCTCAAACAGCACCCAAAACAGCACCCCCAAACAGCACCCCCAAACAGCGCCTTACACCAGAACCCCAAACTGCACGCCCCCTAGCACCAGCCCGTCATTCTCGCAAATCCTGTTTCCCTCGAGGTTAGAATAAGGGCACCAACTCTTTTCTGCAGTCTATCTTAGTAGGGTCCCGAACCCCCCCCCAAAAAAAAAACAAAAGGGGTGAGCAAGGGCGCCTAGCTGGGGGACCTATAGTCACCAATTTGTAAACTGTGGACCCCCCCCCCACATGGGTGTTTTGTTTTTTCTCCGCCCGGTGCCCCACGAAAATGCCGCCCAACCAGGGGGTCACCATCACCAGGAGCCAACCCCGACCCGCGAAGCGGCCTCCTCCACCCCGTGGAGGTCGATGAAGCCGTCCGAGAAGAGCAGGTTCCTGGGAAGCGCGTGCGTGAGGCGCCCTGGCGCCCTGGCGCCCTGGCGCCCTGGCGCCCATGGCTGTAGGGGATGCGTCCCCAAGGAAAAAAAGGGGGTGAGAAAGGGCACCAACTGCTGGTTTTGGAACCCAGTTGAAGACATTTTGAAGGTCTGGAGGGTCTTGCGGAAGAGCAAGTACCCCCCAAACTGTTCTAGATTCCAATTCCTTTCTTTTCGACCATCGTTCTTTTCCGAAACCGGCCGGATCCGTGTTCAACCTGGGTTTCGGGAGGTTTTGTAGAAAGAAGGATCGGAAAGAATGGGGGGGAGATATTACTAGAATGGGCGGTTTGCCACCATGGTCCAAGCCTTCACCAACTTATCCGGTGACTCAGAGATCTGATTCACTGGAGGGAACCCTTGGGTTCGTGGGGCTTGTGATGTCTCCAAGCGTTTGACCCAACGAGCCCCGGCAAAATGTCCGGCAAGCTTCTCACCAGGGTTCCAACCATACCTGACGTTGGAACACCCAAGCATGGCCGGCACTTTTGCAGAGGGCAACAGGCTTGGCGAATGGGGGAAGCGAATCCAGAACCATTCTGAAGCCAGGGATCCGATTCTTTTCAGGAAGCCATGACAAGAACAACAAACAACAAAAAAGAGGCAGCGATCAGAATCCGGAGAACTCTACTAGTCAGAGGAACCGCCCTGACTTTGTGAACTTCCTTTCTAAAAGGGAAGCACCCCCTGACTAGTACGGTCCTGCCGCTTAATCTGCTCAAAGTGGTTTTTCGGGAGTTGGAACCGCCGAGCCAAGTGGCGGACATAAATCCGAAACCAGCATGTCCACCTGTTTGGCCCCCCCTTTAAAAATCACGCCCACTGGAGCCAACTGAGTTCTCTTGAGCTCTTGAGTCCAGAAAGTCGGTGTGTAGTATTTTGGGTGCTGCTTCGGCTCAAAACCTGAATGGAACCTGAGTGGTTTCATGGCAAAAAGTTTATTTAAAGTCCTAACATCCAAGCAAACTGCACCAAAGGAGGATCCGTCCATTGTTGTTTACCAACGTGGGTCATTCCGACTACTTCATCACAGGCAGTCCCTTGGCCACAGAAAGTGGCCGCCCTCCGACTTCCCAAACCTTGATATTGTGGCAAAACACGTGGTGTGCAGCCACTAACAATGAACAAAACCAAAAGCAAGCAAGCAAACACAAACAAATGAAACAAAAACAGACCCATACACACACACAAACACACAAACACACAAACAAACAAACAAACAAACAAACAAACAAACAAACAAACAAACACAAACAAACAAGCAAGCAAGCAAGCAAACAAACAAACAAACAAACAAACAAACAAACAAACAAACAAACACAAACAAACACACACAAACAAACAAACAAACAAACAAACAAACAAAAAAAAAAAAACAAGCAAGGACGAACACACTAGAGCAACAACAAAAGACACCAAAAAAGCAGAAACCACGCGAAATCAAAACAAGAACAACCAGTAAAACTCTTTGCCACGGGGGCCGAAGCTACACTTACGGCTTTGCCAAGCGTCCCAACGAGGCTCTCCCCAGAGAGCATCTCCACGTTGGCCTTGTAGCTGGCCTAGCTCGGCTCGCCCCCGGGACGGCGGACGGCTTGCCCTTCCCAAAACGAGAAAAGAAGAAAAAAAGAAACGCGGAGCCTGGCGTTGGTTTGTTTGGATGCCCGGATGCCCCGGGTGTGTTTTTTGGGGGGAGGGGGAGGGTTACCCTAGTAAACTAGACAAAGCCGAAGAAGGGTACCAACTTATTCTAAGCTCTCAACTGGAGCCGGGATCCGAATCTTTCCAGAAAAATCTCGGACAGGGAGACCGGCCCCGGCTTTTGGAAAAAAAAGGAGTCAACCCCTAGAAGCCCCGGAGGAGTCAACCCAGAGGTGTTTAGTTTGGATCGGTTCGTTTGGATAGAATTTGATGGGTTCCCCTGGTTTATGCCGCTGTAGGGGCCATCTGTGTTCACAAGGCGACCTATGTCAACCAACTGCTTCTTTCGGGTCATTTTGTGGCGCGGATCTGGAGTTGAACCATTTCCTGGTTCTTGTGGGTCAACGGGACAGCGGGCGTTCAAAGGCGCGCAATTCGGCCAAAGGAGTTTCCTAGACTCCCTCAATTGAGTCAGAATCAAAACCCGGTACAAAAATGGTCGCAATCTCAGAATCATGCTTCAAGGGCTAAGAAGGCGGATAACCGCAGCGATTTATTGCTGGGATCGTCCCTTACTAACCTTCACTCGGTTGCTTTCTGCTCCCCTGCTAAAAGTTTAACTTCTTGTGGTTCAATGGAAAACCCAGTAGCTGGCAAAAAGGTTTAAAGTCCTAACATCCCTTGGCAAAATGCACCAAAGTTCACTTACCCCGGGTTTCGATTGTGGCTCCATTGGCCTCTATGGAACCAATGTTTTCAATGGGGGGCCGATGGAATGGGGGCATACAACACAAAATGGGCCACTCGCTTTGAATTGAATTGGTTGGCTTCAAGCACCAAGAGGGAGCCGTGCGCGGTCCCCTGGAAAACATGAGAAAACACACAGTGCCCAGTGATGGATTCCCTTTAAAGCCAAGGGAACAGAACACAAAGACTCAGCAAGCGGAAGGAAGCTGTGCAATAGTGTGGATGCACGACATCCATTTCGCACCACCTAAGAAACCCTGGAATGATGAATCCCCTGTAAATATGGATTCAACCATGGTTTCCAAGTGGTGCAGGGTTTCGTCCATCCACAGCAGTGTGGGTTTCCTCTTCATCCTCACAGGAAACGCTCTGGGCGCCGCTTTTTGACAGGCCACTGCTTCTTTCTGCCACTGCCAGTGGCAGCGCCCCTTTGACAGGCGGCTGCTTCACTGGCACTGCAGCCGAGTGCGGATGAATATAAACCTGCGGGTCGATATTATCGCTGCCAACCGACTTTTGCCTGAGGCAACTTTAGAATGTAGGCAAAGCCTTTCCATGTTATCGGGCGTGATTATCCACTCTATCAACCATGCCTTTCCAAACCCATCTGTTGAAGAGCTGGCCCTTAAAAATGGATAGCTTGCAATCATGACGACGCGTCGCTTTCCAAGTTACCTGTGGCAAGCGGGGCTATACGGCAAATCCCTCCCTTGAGAGACACTGCGAAGACACATGGGAACAGCCTGAGTCACACCGGATCTTGGCCGGCTCAGGCACCGGCATGCCGGCGAAAGGAGTTTGGGGCACCTCTGGGATCTGAAGATATGGCCGTAGATCAACACCCATGAGATACCATTTTGGGGTTTTCGGTGCACCACCCATTTTAGTCGGGATTTTGGTGGTTGGATTGGGATGTTCACTGGGGCTACGATTTGGCTTTTGACCCATAGCCATATTCTCTCGGACTGGACCCCTGGCTGCCGAAATCTTCTGGCTGCACCGGCTCGAAGGGCAAACAATTGTTTGGCTGGCCTCCGCCAGCCATGAAACGGCTCTGCCGACTATGCATGCTGCTTCAAGACTGTAAGCACCTTGGCTTCTCTTGGGCCGACCTGGGGTTCTTCTTGGAAAGTGCTTGGCTTGGTCGGCTGAAGAACTTTGCCGTGCATGGCTCTCTGCTGGGCCAGTTGCTTCATCCTCCTGAAGTTGGGTGGCTCCAGATTCCTAGGCTGGAATTCGGACCCCAACAACAACCTTTCGATTAATCTTTTTTGCCTGGTGAGTGCAAAAAACAAACATGGACCCCCAAAAAAAGAGCAAAAACAAAACAAAACAAAAACGGGGGCGCTGAGTCATTCATAGTCATTCCAAGATTCAACGCCTTGCTGACCTCCATGGCGGCGCTTGCTTCGCTCAACCGCGGAAGGCTGGCGCGGGATGCCGAAACCGCACAGCGCTTCGCTTCACTGGAGCCCAAGGACTGCCGCGAAGGACGTGAACCTGGACCCTCAAACTACCCATAAAAACGGGATGGCACCAACCATGATTTTGGGGGTCTTTGACCCATTTTTAAGTTGGCATTTTGAGGGATCAGGAAGTTGCACAGCGGCACAGCCTCGGAACACGGCTGCGTCCAACACAAAACGACCACTGAGGCTGTTCTGCTGAAGACTCCTCCTGCATTTGAAGTGATGGGATTAAAAAAAGAAAGACTTTATGGTGCTCGTCCACCTCAGAAATACAGAAGAGGCGACGAACATCTCTGTCTCCGGAACTTTCAGTAGATCCAACAGCCAATGAACCCCCTTTTCTGCGGGCTCAGGAGATCCTGAGTTGGGTGCAACTCGAAGGTAACCAAGGACTGTGCCATGTCACGCGGCGTGACAAATCATGGCTAGGGTGCAGAGGTTCATGGCCGTCTGGCTCAGCCAGCTGCACTCCACCTGTCCCAAGCCGCCCTTTGGAAGCCTCGAGCCACAAAAACGCGTGGCTTCCGAAGGGCCGCTTGCGAGGCTTGAGGCCGAACCTGCGAGCTTTGTCTCCACCCCGAAGCTTCCCCTCACCGTGACTCCACGTGGTCCAGATTTGAGAGGCTAGAAGAAGTTGGTACCCTGTTCTCTCTTTTTTTTGAACCTAGTCTGTTTTAGTAGGGTCCCGAACCCTCCCCCAAAAAAAAGGTGAAAGGGCACTACTGGGGGACCTAGTTAGGCGTTCAATCAGAAAACCCCCAACAACAACAACCATCTGACCCAATACCCGAAACCTTGCTGGTGACTTGCGCCGGCTTCAGGCGAATCCAACGAATCCAACCCTTGTCAGCTTGAGGGGGTTGGCCAAACGTTAGCCCTCCAAGTCCTTCAAGTAGTCTGAGAAGAACTGCCCTCAACACCCAAACCGACCAACGGAAGCAGCACATCGAAAGCTGAAAGACTTGGGCCATGGGACAGAGCCCACTTTAGAGGAAGCAGAATGGAATTGGACTCGCTTTCGAATGGCAGACCCAGACCCCTTCCAGACCCTTAGACCCTTCACCCTTCCAGACGCTTCCCGGAAGTTGGAAAGAGCCAAGAAAATGGGTTCATTTGTGAAAAAACAACACTTATTTCTTTAACCCCTTTCCCACCGTGAATCCCAATGCCGGGCTTCCTTTTGGTGTCCCTGAAAGGGGATGTTCAGAAACTCCGATTCCAACTATTTGGGTGTGAACGGCGTTAAACTAGGGCCCCAGCTTTGGTTGTCAAACTCGGGGTAACCCCAAAAGTCTGGTTTGGATCGGTGGTTTGGAGAGGCTACCAGCTAGGGGTTACCTGAAAAAAAGGCGTCCCTAAGGAAACCACCAACCAAAAAACTGGCGCCCACCCCAAAAAACAAAAAAAGCGGCAGAGTCTTCTCCCAACAAAGACAGACCTCCGCCCTCGGTTTTCCGGTCCCCTCCGCCGCGCCTTGCCCTTGAGGCTGTTCAGCGGGTCCTTAAAGGTCACCTCCTGCGAGAGCCGAAACCGCGACGGCTGACCGCCACCTCCGCCCCTTTGGGCGCACCGGCCATACTCGAGCCTGGACGGGGAGAATGGGATATGACTCGAGAATTGTTTTATCCCATCTACGAAAAAGGCATAGTACACTCCCTCAGACTAACATGTCCTAACATATCGGAATACTGTGGATGGTTGCGAAATCCGCTTCTCGCACCGTTCAGAAACCCTGGTTTCTGATCATTCCCATATGGTAAATAGCAGCAAACAATGATTTCAACCATGGTATCAAAGTGGTGCGAAATGGTTTTTGTCCATCCACAGTATGACTCGAGAAAATGTATCCCATCCTTTGCGAACAAGGCACAGTAGATAGATCTTCGGACCTGGAAACAAAAGGAGATCACCCAACATTTTGGGCCAAGTGGATGGGACAGCCAAGACGTGTCCGAAGGTCGATTCCGCTTTGGACAAGTTCTGGGGTGATGGAGAAATCTCGCAGTTTTCAAGATTGGAGGGAGCGCGTTTCAAGGCACACCACATGAATCCAAGGCAAACCACATGAACCCGTGGCCATCGACAAATCTGGCCCCATTTTGACACATCCTTCAAGGCCAAGACCAAGCTTACACCAAGCCCAAGCTTGAGGCCTCGAGGAAACCTTTGCTGAAGGACTACGGACCAAGGGAGGTTTCTTCTCATATGGCAAAGGCTTGGCTCAAGCGTGGCCCATGGTCAGCCATGTTCTCAAAGGTTGAATAGTTTCTTGCCAGGTGTGGTGATCTCAGATGGGTAGGGGTCAAAATTTAGCCACCAGGCTGAAGGTGTTTTTTGTCCTTGATTCCATTTGCCGGGGTTCCATTTGAGGTACATATTTTTGACCCACGGCCAAATATGGCTGCGGCTCAAAAAAAAAATCTCCAACAAAATTTGCGGCACCTTGGTAAATGGAACCACCTGCGGAAGCCGAGTGACCCCGCACCCATATGGGGCGTCAAGGTCACGGAGCCGTTTTTTTTGTTCAACGCATACATCTAAAATCAAAAACAGGGGGAACACCCCAACGTAGAAATTTCACACAAGAACAGGGGAACTCCTTGCAGTTTTGAGATCCGGGATCCCTCGCCATGTATCACGTTCGCTAAACAATTGGCCCCGAGCGCACGACCAGAGACTCTTTGGCTCCGCTTGGGCATCGAGTTGTAGCCTTCCTCCTTAACTAGGTCCTCCAGATTTGAGAGGTTAGAATAAGGGTACCAACTTTTTATGTAGTCTATTTTAGTAGGGGAACCCTCCCCCAAAAAGGGTAAAAGGGCACTACTGGGGGACCTGGTTAAAAAAACACAAATTTTAGAGATGGGTCCGAGGCTCAAAATGCACCCAGAAACCTCCCGTCCGAAGGTGGCTACTGTGGTTTGACCGGGGTTCACTCCTCCAGCAACCCCCCCAAAAGGTAGATCTCTCAAGTGTGCGTGCAGAATAAGAACGTCAAGGACGCTGAACGCTGCTTTTCTTTTTGGCGGGGGGGTCTGGATAGAATCCGGATCACTTCGGAGTTGCAGCCCCAAATCTGCGAAATGTGCGACTCCAGAATGGCCCACCTGTCCGCTCTTTGTTTCCCGCAGTGGTACAATATGACACGGCCACAAGGGTCCACATCCTGACCCTGGTCTGTACTCCAACTAGGTCCTCCAGTAGAGAGGTTAGAATAAGGGTACAAAAGGGGTGAGAAAGGGCACCTATAGCTGCAAAACCTAGCCAAAGGTCATATGGTGCTGTTGATCCATAGTCCACTTCCCGAGCTTCTTGCGGAATCTCACATCCTCAGGCACCTCAAGCCCATCCTACGAATCCTTCAGGCATGGGCTCCCAAAAAAGACCAGCCCAATGGATCGGAGGCGCATTCCCGTTCGCAGAACTGGCTTGGTGGGCGTTGGAAGGGGAGCAAAAATTCGCCTCGGCCCCAAAGGGGCCAAGGGCGCTCAGATTCTTCTCCAAAGAGAATCTTCGCTTTTCCCCTCCCCCGCCCCCCCCCCCCCCACCCCCCACCCATGTCGGCTGGCCCAAAATCCTGTCCGGCGGGCCTTGAAATTTTCGGGGTTCGTCGGCGTCCAGCTCCATGGGTCCATTTTTGTCGACATCACGAAAAATGCTTTTCCTGAAAAGCATGACCTCCTGCTGGCCAGGCCTGTCTGACATGTCTGAGACTAGGCTCAGGCCCAGCCCAACCAGCAACCCGCCTGCGGGCCAGGCCTGCCAGCCCAGCCCACCCAGCCTCAGGCCCAAGCTTGTCTGAAACAGGCCTAGCCCAACAAGCCGCCCAAGCACGGCCCCAAGTCATCCAGCAAGCCCAGCCCAGCCCAGGCCCACTAGGCCGGCCCCCAGCTCCCAGCCCACCAGCAGGCTCAGCCCAGCGTGCCAAGGTCGGTTTGTCTAACGTGTCTGAGACTGGCCTCAGGCCAACAACCAGTCTCACGTGTCTGAGACTGGTCTCAAGCTACGCCAGCTACTAAGCCTGTCTGACGTGCCCCTTCGGCGCAGTCTGACACTGGTCTCAAGACTAGCCTCAAGCCCAGTCCCTCAGCCCGCCTGCTGGCGTGTCTTACGTGTCTGCGACCTCAGGCCCAGCCCAGCCAGCAACTCGCCACCCAGCCTCAGGCCCAAGTGTGTATGAAACAGGCCTTGCCCATCCAGCAACCCGCCCAAGCACAGCTCAGCCCAGCCCGTAGTCCCTGCCCGGCAGCCAGCAACCCCTACCCGGCCCCGGCGCATCTCAGGCATGCCAGCCACTAGGCCGGCCCCCAGCTCCCAGCCCACCAGCCCTCCAAGCAGCTCAGCCCAGGGCCAGGCCTTGACCTCCTGCTGCGTCTGGCCCCAAGTCATCCAGCAGCCCCAGCCCCAAGCAGTCTGAGATGCCAGCCTGAGACTAGCCTCAGGCCCAGTCCCTCAGCCCGCCTGCTGGCGTGTCTATTGGGGATATTTTTCCGGGGTACTTAAGCAAATGGAGGTTTGTATTCCCACCATGTACCTGTCTTGGGCTGAGCAACCGAGCAAGAAATGTATGTCATGGCAAGCCGCCAGCCACGTGAAATGGAGGTGCCCAAACACCCAAAGTTGGTCTTGGTTGTTCAGTGACACCAATTATTGTTCCCCTTTTTATGGAGGCCAAGCCCCACTAAAAATGCTCATCCCCAGAAAGAGGTCCTTTTTTTTCCAAGGGCACTGAGCAGCTGAGATAGTCTTGGTTTTGGATTTCAAACCTTCCGAGCAGGACGGCTTCCGAACATCGAACTAGCACGGGCGAACTGGTGCGGTCACAAGCTTTCAGTAGGATTCGGACCTTCCCAACACTGGATTTCGGTGTTCCTGACCCTTCCCTCAAACTAGGCTGGGCCGAGGCGGGCAACGCGAAGCGTTTACAATTCTCAAACTTTAGCAGTTAAGTGGATTTGGAGTTCAACCACTAAACCACATTAGGCAAAAATGTAAAAAACAAAAAAATGTGTCCCAACAACCACCATGTCTAGTTGGCTTCCTCTTCCCCAAGAACGAGTTGCACCCATCAAAGTACTCAACTCAACTCCGACCAAAGAAAGCTCCCAGCCCGAGCCCGAACCCCAGGCCTCAGAGTAGTACTCTGCCTGGCACCATGGTTTCCGTCTCAAACGCCCGGTCGCTGTCACGTGGCTCGTCGAAGGAAACGCGGAAGCGCACAATGGTTGCGGTGCTCCCTTCGTTTTCCCTTCGTTTTCCCTTCGTTTGTTTCCCTTCGTTTTCCCTTGAATCCAAGCCAAAAAAGCGTTCCCTTTGTGCTCCCCTCGTTTTCCCGTTTTCCCAAGCCAAAAAAGGGTGCCATTAAAAATCACACACCCATATGTACAACCCCCCCTGACAGTTGGGTATGTGTCAGACTAGGGGGCCCGGAAGAAGCCGCGGAAGCTTGAGAGGCTCTGCAAGGCCTGAACCCTTGCTGGATGTTTGTTGCCAGCCAAGTGAAATGCCTAGCCACTTGGGTTACCCACAAACAGGGCTAAACTCCACCAAGGGGATGGAGGGGACAGAGAACTGAGTGGGTCAAAAACAAGAAGACGAACGGTGACGTCGTTACAACTACTTCTTGGTTGCCGTTGGAAGGGGAGCAAAGACTCTCATATTTTAGCAGTTAAGTGGTTGGATTTCAACCACTAAACCAGAAGAAGCCAAAATGATACAAAAGCTTCCCAACAACCATGACTTGGCGCATAGAAGTCACCCCAAGCCGGAGCCGGCGGATCAGGAAAAAACAACATGGGTTTGGCGTCACACGCCTCGAAGGGCCGGAAGAAGCTCTGGTACTCCCGGGCCTCGCTCTTCGACCCATAGTCGGAACTGGGGTCGTCAGTTTGACTAGTTTTCTGGGGGGTCGAAGTCAGAAAGATCAGATATGGTTGGCTGTTTTTGGACCTCCTCAACACTGTGCTGTCCTCAGATCCCCCGCAAAAAGTGACTCACTTTTGGTGGGTTAAATTCGGAAACTACCACTAAACACTAAAAGGCTACAAGGCTAAGGGGATGACTGGGAGCCACCAAGTTTTCTGGGAGAGTCGAAGAAACCGGCAATGGTTAGCTGCTTTGGACCTCCTCAACACTGAGCGGGGGTGACTTTGATGGCAAAGCATCATGAGCCCATGCTTGTCCAGGCGACATGGTTCAAAGCCAAACCACCGAAAAAGGGTTGAGCCGGAGCTGGAGCTGCAGCCGGAGGCGCCCGGTGGTTTGGTGTGAAGCTTGGGGGGAAAAACAAAAAAAATACCCCTCGACAGATCCAAACCACCGACTCGGCCACGGTCACCACCCACCCGGGTCACCTGAATCCTGAATGCTCAAGGGTGGTCAGACCTACTGGCCGGGAAGCTGTCGGCGCTCTGGGAGCACTTGGCCGAAAAAACCTCCTCGACGACTCATCGAGTTAAAGCCCCCCTCCACCCGTTTTACATGGAACCTGACAGGAAGGTCCTGGTTTGGACCATTTTCCTTTTGAAAGGGACCTCCGAACGCGGAGGTTCCATGTGAAAAAGGTGGGAAAGTAACAGCTCCCCACTTGTGCAGGGACCCCCTCTTTTGAATGGGATTCCTTTCTTCCGGAACTCGACCCTTTGTAGACACCCGGCCCAAAATGGCTACCTGGACGCACCTGGCACCTCTCCCAAAGCGGCGGGTGTCGAGTTGCTCTCTTCTCCGATTCCATGAATTTCTCTGAGGGCCGAGCCAAGCATTCCTTCAATGCCTCCCGTGGACGGGCTGAACGCGAGGAATGCAAAGCCACGAGAAACCCAATCAGAAGCTCCTGGGGCGGTTCTACTAAAAATAGGGAGCGACAAGAGTTGTTGGTTTTGTCGGGGTTCCAGATTAATCTGCAGAGTAACTAGGTCCAAAGACTACTAAAAAGAAAGGGAGAGAGAGAGGGAGAGACAAAAAGTTGTTTTCTGTCGGGGTTCCAGATTCACCTGCGGGGAGTAACTAGGTCCTTCAAAGGCTCGACCGTTGTTGGCTGTTTCCAACATCACTTGAGGATAATGTCGTTTGAAGTTTAAAGCATTTCGGAGGGTGATTTAGACGGTGCTTTGGAGGATGGTCACTTTGCGCCTGGGAAGAAGCAAGCCCGCTCAACCGACGATAGTTGACTCGCGGCCGCACGGACCCGCGCCTCCCGGTTTTCCTCAAAGGAGGCTTTGCAGGCTAACTTGCCTGGGGCCAGCCAGTCGGTGCGTCCCTGTAGCGGGCGACCTGGTCCATATGGACCCGCTGTTGGATGGTATAAAAAGAAAGCCAAAAGGAAACCTCCTACCTGCAGGAATCGGTCCGAATCCAATTTTGAGAAACACCAATTTGGTATTTGTGCCCTTTCTGAGTTTGTTTCGCAGGAACACCAAGGGAACATCAGCCAACCATTTCCTCCATGAGCCAAACCTTCTCTTCAAAGCAGCCTTCGGTGTTGTGCGACTATGGGCCAACCCCCCCCCATTCAATCTCTGGAAGGATTATGTTGGATTTGTAAACCCGTCCTATATTTTTTTTTTGGGGGGGGCCGAAGAGGCCCCCGCAAGTGAAGGATTCCGGACTCCCACTAAAAGGGGACACCCCCCCAATGTCATGAACCCCCAAAGCTCTCCCTTGAGAACCCCATTAATAAGGCCTTGTTAAGGGTGTATCCTTGGCTTATCCTGGGATAGCCCCCCCACGGATCCGTGACATTCATCAACCACGGGTCTATTAATCTGGGGTCAACATTGCGCATCAAAGACTGTGAGACTGACCCAACAGATGCATCTGGCTCAGTCAGAGACTCCAAGACATAAACTCGCCTTTGAACCGGAGCTTCGCACAACCTTTCAGAGGGTCTCACTTCTTCCAAGGACGAGCGTTTTTTAGTAACCTGGCTGAAAAAAGGCGATCATTATTTTTACCCATTTTCGCAAAACACATCAAAAGATCGTGCAACAAGGGCTTCACGCTTTGAAGCTTGTAATTGTTCAAAACAAAAAACACGTTGGTCCGAATCAAGACGCCTTTCGGGGGAACCCCGAAGAATGGAGCTGTTGCCACTTGGAGCCGTTGAGCCATGCGCTGGATTCGGCACTCCTGCTCCATCTCGCCTCTCGCAGATTCGATCGGCCGAGGGAAGGCGGCCGCATGGATCTGCAAAAAAATACTACCCCCCAGGCTAAGATGGAAGCTTGCAGGACCCCTTTGGAAGCCCAAAAAATCCATTTACAGAGGCCTGGGAGCTTCCATGTTAGTCTGAAGTGTAAAATTCCAGAAGCTGAATTCAGGATTTTCAGGTGGAGGACCTGTAGTATGGTGAGCTCGTTCTACCACCAGGTGCACTCGCTTAGGCAGATGGGTCCCAAATGAATGCTGGGACCCCACAGTAACAGGACCCAACAAACCGAAAGGCGGAACCTGCGGAAGGAACTTTTGAAGGCTGAGAGCGATGACTTATTTGGGCGAATCGAGGCCCAATTTGTTGTAAGCTGGGGCAAAAGAATAGACATGGGCTGCCGGAACCTCCCAAAATGAGTAATCAAGACCTGGCAGGAAACCATGCTTCAGCAATTCAAACCGGATATCTGCACACACTTATGGCCAGAAAACTATCTAAAACCTTCATCTACCTGAGCTGCAATGGCTCAGATGCGCCCCAAGCTTCTTCCTCTTGAAGCCCAAAGGAAAACAAACCATGACTGATGGCCCCCGAAATGAGACTCGGTCCTCCAGTAGAGAGGTTAGAATAAGGCCTCCCTCCCCAAAAAGGGGCACCCTCCCCAAAAAAGTTGGTAAAACAGGGATCCTTACATTATACACCTAAACATTGCAACTTGTAAATGGTGGTTTTCCATTTATTTTTGTGTTGAAAAAGCCATGTTTCAAATGGGCTAGCATGAATCCTTTAAGGAGACCTGTAAAAGTTGGCACCGGGACTCGCTCCTAGCCGGGCGTTTGATTGCAAGGAGGCGTCACTTTTCTGATCACACCCTTCCCTGCTTCCATTTTGACCTCCCCTCCTCTTCTTCCTGACAAAACAACAGGGGGGGTGCAAAAACCATAGGCCGGCTGTACCGGCATTCATGATTGGGTCCAACCTTCATCTACCCAGGTTTTGCATCGAATATGGGTCTCCTTGGCGGTGGTTGAGGGAAACGAAAGGGGAATCCCACGCCATTTTGGGGAGCCATGTCATATTTTGGGCCAAAGAAAAGGTCTGCATCTTATGCGTCCATTTCCTGTAAGACACGCCCTCATTTATGCTTGCCTCCCTAAGACAACGCCCAAGCCATGGGGGAGACGGCCCCATCATGCCGGAGGATTGCGAGTCGAACGCGATCGGAGTCCGGCACTGCCTGGAAGCTTACGAAGTTGCAGGGCCTCGCACAAAAGATGCACCGCTTGCTGGCTTGACAAGCAGGAGGGAAGGAAGGAAGGAAGGAAGGAAGGAAGGAAGGAAGGAAGGAAGGAAGGAAGGAAGGAAGGAAGGAAGGAAGGAAGGAAGGAAAAACCAACAAACAGAAGCCTCCCGAGCAACTTCTGAACCATCGCTCCTGAGTAGCACCGCGGCCAGAAGAAGCAGCCTGCGCGCTTTCAAGAAGCCAGGCGGCGGAAACGCTGCCTGGGGGTTCCCTTAAAACCCCCGAAAAGGGTACCCAAACAGAGAATCACCACCCCCCCCCCGGTAGGGAATTCAAAGGTGATCACCTTTTGGGACCTTTTTTTTTTCCGCAAAGTGGACCAAAAAAGGGAAAACCAAAAGATCCGGTGGATTCGCTTTGGGCAACTGAGCCCTCAAACAAAACGGGCGGTTTTCCCCCATGGTTCCAACAAACAACCAGCAACCCGAGAAAAGAGTTCTGAGCGTTGCAAAATCGGGACACGCCCTCACCGTACGCCAAGCTCGCCCACACCCGGAAGCCCGAATCTGACATCGCCAACCATCAAAAGAAACTCACAACACCCACGTAAGGTGGTGAATAAAATTCAGAGCTGTTCCTGGTGACCTTTTGCATTTTGCTTCTTTAAACGAGCGCTCTTCCTGCAAAAAGGGAACCCCAGGTCATCTTCTTTTGGCAACCCAAATGCTCGGAACAGTCCCAAGGGTGCGAGAACCTGCTGTTTCACGGGACGTGAAGCGGCACAAACACACACAAGCACAAAAACAGGAACCTGGATCGCCAGTTGCTGCTTTTTTCCATGCACTTTACCCCAAAAACCAGCAACAGTGACTGAAAAAAGCGGCAACTTGGCTATCTAGGAGCTGCTTAAACTCAGTCTTCTGCAGGCTTCCCGTATGCTCTCGGGTAGGACCCAGTCCGAGATTTCCTGCTAGCCAAAAGGAAGACGTGCCAACGATCGTCTGGGTTCCCCTTGAAGGCCAAAGGAGTCATAACCAAAGGTGGCAATTGTTAAAATAACGGGCGTCGTTTTAGGAAATTGGATGGCTAGATAATTACTTCAAGCAGTTTGTTTATACCATGGCCCGCTCTTCTCAGAATCAAACTCGCCTCAGTAAAATGGTCTACTCGAACATCACGTACAGAATCAAACAGGGCGAATACCCGCGCTGGCATGGTGGCTGGGTTTTGTGTGGATTCGGTTCTGCACACAAAAAGGGGGGAGGTGACAGACACCACGGACAGCATCCTCAGCTGCGAATGGATTCAAACCCTTTCAATTTTTGAAACGATGGGATCGACCTCGGTTGCGAAATCTGCGTAGTGGTTTGATACGGAAAACCCGTTAGTGGGCAAAAACTTGTTCAGTCCTAGCATCCCTTGGCAAAATGAACCAAAGCAACCACACCACCTGGTGCGTGTGACATGTCGTCCATCCACGCAGTTGAATCGACCAATCGACCTCTCGTTTTCTCGCCTGGCTCGGCGGCCCGTGAAGGCGCCCATGACTCCACACGAAAGTGATCGCTGAGTGGTTCCCATGTTCGAAGGCAAAACACAAACCGGAGTGGTCCGCCTCTCGGCTTCCGTCCGCTTTAAAGAAATGCGAAGCGGGGTCGCGAGGAACCGCATAGCAGTCCCGTCTCGGGGTCTGTGTGCTCTTTGCGTCCGGTCGTTTCAAGCGTCGCTTTGCGTGAGCGTTCAGATTGCCATCTGCGCCATATCTGTGCCATGAAACTCCAGTGAGGGAAATGGCTCCGGGTGGATTGAAAGGGAAACCAAAAGAATAGTATCCGTATTTATTGTATTGTGTGGGTTTGAAACCAAAGGAAGAGACCTCATTTTGGGGGGTCACCTATTTGAAGACACACCCACGTCGAACGGGTGTGGAAATCTTGCTTGGCTGGGGTGTAGGATTGGTTTGTGCGGGGGGTCACATTGGCGTTGAGGGGTTGGATTGGTCTATATTGTTGATGACAAACCCGTCGCTTTGATCTGCTTGCCGGTTTGCCAATTGTCCGCACAGCTTGAGACTTTGAGCATGTGAGGAACAAAGCACACATTGCAAGTTGTCATGCGTGGCTTATGAGTCGCAGTGCCATTAGGCAAAACTAAGACAGTATGCTCCGGCGAACACGAGCAGCCATCATTTCAAAGGTGTTTCACTTATCGCAGAAAGAGGCAACAGTAAACCGACGTTTTAGAGCAATCTTCTTTTGGGAAATTGACGCCCCTTTTGGGGTTCCATGTGTAACTTGCAGGGGAGAAAGCACACTTCTTTTTGTGCGGCCATGCTGCAAGCGTGTGCTTCTCAAAATGCTGCGCCTCGAAAACCATCCAAAAGGTTCACCATGTTGAGACCAGCCTTGCGACCATAGGTGACCTTTTGGAAAAATTGTTTCCCTAGCAAATGGAACAAAACCAATCGAAACCGGTGCCATCTGAGCTTGTGACGCACCTTTGTCCTCTCGCTGACGTATCAGACCTGCAAAGGGCAGCTTAGCCG